TGACATATTGAACTTTTTGCTAAGCAAGGTGAACAGCCCCCCGGCAGAACGCCGGGCGCCCCCGGCAGCTTCACACTGCGGCACATCCAGCCTCTCAGCAGTGAGGCTCTGCCAGCGTCTCTGCTCTGAGTCAGCAGGCTGCAGCCATGGCTGGTGAGATCTCCTTCTGTAGTAGGGTTGCCGGGCATCCGGTTTTTGACCAGAATTCCTGCTTGAAAAGGGACCCTGGCGGCTCCGGTCAGCACTGCTGACTGGGCTGTTAAAAGTCTGGTTGGCCACCCACAGCAGGACAGGCAGGGTGCCTGCCTGGCTCTGCGAAACGCCCAGAAAGCTTCTGGCATCTGAGTCCTAGGCTTAGGGGCGGCCAGGGGAGCGCCACGCACTGCTTCCATCCCTCCCCCAGCGCCGGGTCTGCATCTTCCATTGGCCGGGAACCACAGCCAATGGGAACTGCGGAGGCGGCGCCTGCATGCAGGGGCAGCGCGGAGACTGCAGAGCTGCCTGGTCGCGCCTCTGCCTAGGAGACGGACATGCTGGCAGCTTCCTGGGAGCAGCCTGAGGTAAGTGTCGCCCAGAGCCTGCATTCCAAACCCCCTACCGCACCCCAATCCCCTGCCCCAGAGTTCCCTCCCGCGCCCTGAACACCTCAACTCTGGCCCCACCCCAGAGCCCACACCCCCAGCCGGAGCCCTCACCCCACTCCCTCACCCCAACCCCCTCCCCCAGCCTGGTGAAAATGAGCAAAGGTCGGGGAGAGCAAGTGATGGAGGGAGGGGGGATGGAGTGAGCAGCGGCGGGGCCTCAGGGAAGGGGCATGGCAGGGGCAGAGTCTCAGAGAAAGGGCGGGGTAAGGGGCATGGCAACGGTGTTAGCTTTTCTGCCAAATAAAGTTGGCAACCCTATTCTGTAGCCTAAAGCACTCTGTTGTTGTCATTGCTGGTGAGGAGCAATGAGTTCTCCGGCCAAAGCCCTGTCCACTAGGCCATGCTGCCCCTTTAGCACAATAGCCATTCCCTACAGTCAGATGTCAGCGCACACACAGCCATCCATACATTTGTATCTCTCCATTACTGAGGGCAGCAGGTGACACACCTAGATTGACAGACAGCTAGAGAGGAGATTAGATTAAAAGCCCTGATCCACACTCCTGTGTAACTGCCTGCCAGTCTCCATGGAGGTACAACAAGCATTTCATCTGAGCTCCCTCCCCCGTGTTCACATAACACAGCAAGGGGTTATGGGATACACAAACCTCAAGTAACAGCCTGGAACTTTTCAAGCT